ACTTCAGAATGAGCCTGTCGAGAAGCCGCAGATGACGGCACGTGAGCGCATCGATCGCGCCAAGAGCTGGAGAGACAAGAACCAGGATGCCGAGCCGGCTCCCGAACCCCGGTCGACTGGCCGCAACTACGATCGCCGCTGGGACCGCGACCAGCGCAACGAACGCGACCCGGAGTGGATGGATGAGCCTGCTGCCGACAAGCAGGAGCGCCACACGGAGGAGGACTTTAAGAAGTTCATGGAGAGCATGAAGGGCCAAAAGGCCGCCGCCGCCGCTGCCGCTGCCTCCGACAAGCCTGTCGCTGCGACTGCGACTGCGTTGGAGGCCGCGGTCAAGGCCGAGCAGCCTGCTGTTGCGGCTGCGCCCGTCGAGACGGGGCCCGACAAGTTCTTCATGGCTTTCGCTTCCACTGGAGGCCTGGACTCACCCAGCGAACAGAAGGAGGCCACGCCCAAGCCCAGTCGGGCTGGCGGTGGCAAATCCTCTCGCTTTACTTCCTTCTTCAGCGCGCCGCACGAGGACGCGAGCGCCCGTCACCAACCGGAGCCTCCTGCGCCGCCCCCAGGCCTGCCCATCATGGGCGGCAACGCCATCATGAGCGCCGGCACCCCGAACGCGGAGAAGGAGGCCTTCGCCGTGCTGCTGCAGAAGCTTCAGCGCTCTAACGTGAATGAGGGCTCGACACCGCCAGCCGCCCAGCTCTTCCAGAAGCCCCCCCATGAGCCATCGCCCGGAGGGCCGATTCAGTCGCCCGGCCCCTTCCAACAATACGGACCTCCTGAGCATCGCGAAGACCCGCGCATCCGTCACCAGCATCCTATGCCGCCACAGGACGTTCCCGTGCCTCGACCCATGTTGGCCACCCAGCAGTCGGCGAGCCACCAGGACAAGATGCTGCAGGATCTTCTCGCTCAGCGCCAGCTTGCCTCCAGCCAAGGATCTGGCAGGGCTGAGGGCGGCCCCCATCCTCAGATGCGGAACAACAGCAACGCCGAGTTCTTGATGAATCTCATGAGGGCGCAGCCTGAGCCTGTCCGCACCGAACAGATGCTCATGCGCATGCACCAGCAGCCGCAACCCCAGGGTCAGCGGAACGCCTCGATCTCGCACCTCCAAGATCGCGAGCCCAGCTTCTCCCCGACCGGCGCCCGCGAGGCGCGGTCCATGCGAGGTCCTCCTCCCGGCTTCATGGAAGAAGGTTTCCAACACGAGCCCGAGGGTCGCCCGCAGCCGACGCAGATCTTGCAGCGTCCTCCGCCGCCTCCTGGGCTCGACCAGATGAACCCCAACTGGATGCAGCAGGGTGGCCCGATGCCCCCTCAACAACGTAACATGGGCCCTCCCCCTGGCCTCGCAGGCGGCCCTGGTGGTCCTGGCGGCCCAGGCGGCCCCGTCGGCCCTGGCCGCAACCACCCCATGGCAGGCATGTTCCCTCCGGGTCCCAACTTCCCACCGGGCGGCTTCCCCCCGCCTGAGAGCATGGCTGGCCCGCCTCCGCGCAACATGCAGCCTCCTCCAGGATTTTTCGGAGGCCCCCCGCCGCCCGGCTTCATGCCGCCCCCCGGTATGGGCGTACCCGGTTTCCAAGGCCCAGGACCCGAGGGCCACGGATTTCCCTTTGACGGGCGCGGCTTGCCTCCTCCCGGCGCCGCCCAAGCCTTCCGCAGGCAGTAAATGCCTTCTCTGAAGGTTTTTCGGAGGTCATAATCATATTCGAGAGGCATGACACACCATCATGCCAACACACCATCATGCCCATGACACTACATTCAAAACCTCACCCTTTCTCTCACTCTCTCTATCAAATACTGTCAAAACAAAAAATGGCAGGCGTTCACACATAACTGCCTCAACCATGGCTCTGTGAACGTTGGTCTGGAACCCAACCGGCACGTTTGCCGCGTTTCACTCACGAAGTGTCGGCCGAGACAGCGCTGTTCTTGGCCGGTCAGTCTGTATAACGATCTCAAGTAGCGGCTTGACGCCGATGAACAACCTTGTTTGGGACATGTTGGGGTAATGACGAGGCAGACCTATGGAGGGGCTACGGGGGTTCTGATCTCACCGTAGACATGAATGATGAATGGATGTATTGCTCCGATTTTTTGCGTTTCTGTGATTGATGTGAGTGACTGAGTGCAGGTCCCGTGGTCGACATTTGGAGGATTGTTGGCCTTTGCGATTTTCAGACATGGCCGCTGGATCTTGACGTCGTCAGATCATCTGCATGCTGGGGAAGTGCCGATACTGACCGTCTCTCTCTCGATCACCCGTCACCCAGCAACGCAACACTCCTTCCATCCGAAGAAAGCATACACCACGCGCAACGCCAACACGGCTCTCAGGCATCCGAAAAAAAAAAAAGAGCCACGGCCCGCTCCCTGCCCTTGATCAACACACCGAAAGTCTCGGCCTGGCGGCTGGGAGCTGTAGGCACAGTGGTACTGCAACAGCTTCCGTGTAGTCTAGAGTGACAGACACCAGGGGCAGCCCGGCTTCCTCACTTTTTTCTTGTCCGGAGGCTCGGCTTCGAGACGTGCGTTTGCACTTTTGGCGGAGCTTTTTTTTTTTTCTCGTAGTCACGGTATTTTACGCAGTCTCTGTATGAAAAAGGCACTTTGCCGAATCATATATATATATATTTATGTATATATATATCGATCGAGCCTCAAGATCTGTGCTGCCAGTCATGTCACGGCCGACCTTATGCACGATACAGGCAGCTGACGATATGCAATGTCCTATTCAGTCCCAGCTGCCGTGCCGGGAACCACACCATGCCCTGCACCCTCCCCTCCCTGCCCGCAACGCCAGGACGCCAACGCTAAACGGAGCAAAGCCATCTAACCACGAAACAAGCCGCCGCCCGCTACCCGGAGCCCCTTCTGTCGCCGAGGGGGTTCTATCTTTGGACGACTTTTCATGCCCAGGAGGTTG